ACCACATTAAAGAAGCAAGACAAAAACCACTTGATCATCTCAATAGATGCAGAAAAAGCCTTTGATAAGATCCAACATCATTTCATGATAAAAGCTCTAAGAAAACTAGGAATAGAAGGAAAGTTCCTCAACATTATAAAAGCTATATATGACAAACCTACAGCCAGCATTATACTTAACGGAGAAAAACTGAAAACCATTCCCTCTAAAATCAGGAACCAGACAAGGATGCCCACTATCTCCACTCCTATTCAACATAGTACTGGAATTCCTAGCCAGAGCAATTAGGCAAGAAGAAGGAATAAAAGGAATACAAATAGGTAAAGAAACTGTCAAAATATCCCTATTTGCAGACGACATGATCCTATACCTTAAAGACCCAAAAAACTCTACTCAGAAGCTTCTAGACATCATCAATAGCTATAGCAAGGTAGCAGGATATAAAATCAACATAGAACAATCATTAGCATTTCTATACACAATGAGCAAACTGAAAAAGAATATGAAAACAATTCCATTTACAATAGCCTCAAAAAAAATCAAATACCTAGGTGTAAACCTAACAAAAGATGTGAAAGACCTCTACAAGGAAAACTATACACTTCTGAAGAAAGAGATTGAGGAAGACTATAGAAAGTGGAGAGATCTCCCATGCTCATGGATTGGTAGAATCAACATAGTAAAAATGTCGATACTCCCAAAAGTAATCTACATGTTTAATGCAATTCCCATCAAAATTCCAATGACATTCATTAAAGAGATTGAAAAATCTACTGTGAAATTTATATGGAAACACAAGAGGCCACGAATAGCCAAGGCAATACTCAGTCAAAAGAACAATGCAGGAGGTATCACAATACCTGACTTCAAACTATATTACAAAGCAATAACAATAAAAACAGCATGGTACTGGCACAAAAACAGACATGAAGACCAGTGGAACAGAATAGAGGACCCAGATATGAAGCCACACAACTATAACCAACTTCTTTGACAAAGGAGCTAAAAATATACGATGGAGAAATAGCAGCCTCTTCAACAAAAACTGCTGGGAAAACTGGTTAGCAGTCTGCAAAAAACTGAAACTAGATCCATGTATATCACCCTATACCAAGATTAACTCAAAATGGATCAAGGATCTTAATATCAGACCCCAAACTCTAAAGTTGATACAGGAAAGAGTAGGAAATACTCTGGAGTTAGTAGGTATAGGTAAGAACTTTCTCAATGAAACCCCAGCAGCACAGCAACTAAGAGATAGCATAGATAAATGGGACCTCATAAAACTAAAAAGCTTGTGTTCATCAAAAGAAATGGTCTCTAAACTGAAGAGAACACCCACAGAGTGGGAGAAAATATTTGCCAGCTACATCAGACAAAGGACTGATAACCAGAATATATAGGGAACTTAAAAAACTAAATTCTCCCAAAACTAATGAACCAATAAAGAAATGGGCAAGTGAACTAAACAGAACTTTCTCAAAAGAAGAAATTCAAATGGCCAAAAAACACATGAAAAAATGCTCACCATCTCTAGCAATAAAGGAAATGCAAATTAAAACCACGCTAAGATTCCACCTCACCCCTGTTAGAATAGCCATCATCAGCAACACCACCAACAACAGGTGTTGGCGAAACCCTCTTACACTGTTGGTGGGAATGTAGACTAGTACAACCACTCTGAAAAAAAATTTGGAGGCTACTTAAAAAGCTAGACATCGATCTACCATTTGATCCAGCAATACCACTCTTGGGGATATACCCAAAAGACTGTGACACAGGTTACTCCAGAGGCACCTGCATACCCATGTTTATTGCAGCACTATTCAAAATAGCCAAGTTATGGAAACAGCCAAGATGCCCCACCACCGACGAATGGATTAAGAAAATGTGGTATCTATACACAATGGAATTCTACGCAGCCATGAAGAAGAACGAAATGTTATCATTCGCTGGTAAATGGATGGAATTGGAGAACATCATTCTGAGTGAGGTTAGCCTGGCCCAAAAGACCAAAAATCATATGTGCTCCCTCATATGTGGACATTAGATCAAGGGCAAACACAACAAGGGGATTGGACTTGAGCACATGATAAAAGCGAGAGCACACAAGGGAGGGGTGAGGATAGGTAAGACACCTAAAAAATAGCTAGCATTTGTTGCCCTTAACGCAGAGAAACTAAAGCAGATACCTTAAAGCAACTGAGGCCAATAGGAAAAGGGGACCAGGAACTAGAGAAAAGGTTAGATCAAAAAATTAACCTAGAAGGTAACACACACACACAGGAAATCAATGTGAGTCAATGCCCTGTTATAGCTATCCTTATCTCAACCAGCAAAAACCCTTGTTCCTTCCTATTATTGCTTATACTCTCTCTACAACAAAATTAGAAATAAGGGCAAAATAGTTTCTGCTGGGTATTGAGGGGGGGGGGAGGAGGGAGGGGGAGTGGGTGGTAAGGGAGGGGTGGGAGGGGGAGAAAGGAACCAAGCCTTGTATGCACATATGAATAATAAAAGAAAAATGGAAAAAAAAAAAAAGAAATCCAAGCTAAGAACGTTTTATTAACTACTAGCCCAAATTAAGGTAAATTTTTTAATTTAACATGTTAAAAAAAAGACCAGGTAACTTGTATAAACTTTATCCTACTGGTAATAAAGAGCCAGTGCAAAAATTTTTTAATTCCAAAGCTTATTAATTACTCAATTGCCCTCTTTCCTTTTTAGATATTATTGTCCTCTCCAATTTTTACTTGCAACGTGTATACCTCTTCCAATTTTAATATGAATATGAATGATATATTTATACTTTACCATCTGTGGCATTATTCTATATCCCCTTTGAGGAACAGCTAACAGAATTATATCATTTTCTTTTAACACTATTAAGTGGTACACTGGAATGCCACAATCTATATACATTTTCTTGTTTTGTTTTTAGAGACAGATTCTCACTGTGTAGCCCAGGCTGGACTCAAACTCACAATCTTCCTGCCTCCACCTCCGGAGTACAGTGTATGCCGCAATGCCTGGCTACACCTAATCATTTCTCACAATAGAACAGAATGGCCAGTATTAGGCTTTGAATTAGAAAACTTCTCCCTTTGCTTCCATGCAAATATCTGCTATTCAATAAGGTTGATGAGCAGTAAAGTTGATTAGTTTTATATTTACTGGGTATACTAGTGGGAAGGCACCTAGAACAGTTCTAGGCACATAAAGCACACAATAAATACTATTAATTGAAAGAAAGGGAGAAAAAAGGGAAGGAGAGGAGGAGAAGGGAAACCATTAGACCAGAACTCAATTAAACTGGATTCTAATCCTGCCCATGTTAGGTGCTCCAGGGGAATTACTTCTCTCTGCAAGTGCTTCTACTTTTCCTATCCATCTTAAATTTTTTTTTTTTCTCAACAATACTGGGGTTTGAGCTCAGGGCCTTGTACTTACTAGGCAGGCACACTATCACTTAAGTCACACCTCAAGCCCTTTTTGCTTTTGTTATTTTTCAGATAGGGTCTCAAATTTTTACTTAAGTTGGCCTAGACCTTGATCCTCCTACTTACACCTCCCATACAGCTGGGGATGGCAGGCGCTTACCAGCACACTAACTGTTTCTGCTGTTATAGGGTCTCGCTTAGTATTTGCCTGGGCTGGCATTGAACTGCAATCCTCCCAATCTCCATCTCCAGGGAAACAGGACTACAGGTGTGAGTCACCAGGCCTGAATATAAATTTTGTAAGAATTACTTACTGAGTAAAAATTATGCCATTTCAAGGCATAATTATTGATAATAGCCAATCTAGAAGTCCTGTCTGTTGGAGTGCTGACTTGGATCCAATACCAAGATTGAAGGGTTATATTGTCTGTTATTATTCTAAAGTTACAAAACCAATGAACAAATTTCTGATTAGCATTTTCATTTCATTGCAGTAAAACAATGAACATTTAGCCCTAAGACTGACTTAAATTTCTATTATTAAATGCATAGATACATAATGCCTACCTCAGTCTTTAAAATAAATGCACATTAATCATCATAAATACACTAACCAGACAAGAGCAGCCTCTACCCTGTGGTTCACTTTGTTATCGTACGAATTATCCAGAAGGCAGTTGATTATAAATCATTCTCAAAAGAAATCAAACTACACATTTACACAGGAAAATTCAGCAAGTAGAGAATTTTATCTCCTAACATTTCTTAGTAAAGCATAAGAAGATGAGAACCTGAATAAATGTGAAAACTGAAAAACTGAAGGAATTAATGAATACTGTTGGAGGGAAAGTTTCATAATGGTTCTTTACAGATTCACTCAAAAAGAATAAAGACTGGGGAGGTGACCTATACTTTTGAATTTTTGCTTTTGAGAAGCTGGGGATCAAAACAAAACTTACCTTAATTCTTGCTTGCTCAATAAATTCAAAACATTCTGGAAAATAAGACAGGATATTGGTTTCAGGCAGATCCAATATGGAAATGTTTTTATATGTAAACTCACTGAGGAAAGCATTCTCAACTCCATATGCAACATTGAGAATGTGAGTCACCTTAAAGAGAAAGAAAAAAGATGATTTTTTTAAAGCCCCATGAATTAGAATATCTAAAAAGAGACCTGAGATGTTGGTATCTATAACAATAATAATAAAAAAAAAATTAAACATGACTCGAATGACAACTCCTGCAGAAAGCCTTCTCTGACTGGCTCCTTCCTCACCAACTGTGCTCCTTCTATATTCTCTCATAGCCCATACATTTGCTCCTACCACTTTGAGATTGTCTCCCTTACTGCATTAGAAGCTTCATAAAGGTACACACCATGTTGAACCTACTATTATAGGTACTGTGAGGGAGCAGTGAGCTTAGCAGAAAGTGCTTTCAATATTTGTTGCACAAATCACTGAATATAAGTAGAAGTATACATGGTATACAACTCCCCTTTCAATAATTAGCTCCCCCCACCTTTTATTGGTGGCACTGGAATTTGAACTCAGGGCTCCAAGCTTGCTAGGCAGTTGCTCTACCACTTGAGCCAGTCCCAGTTCCCTTTTCTTTCATATTCTTTACTAGTAAAATTGTTTTCAACTGTGCTGTACATTAGAACCACACAGGTAAGTTTTTAAAGACTATTAATGCCACAGGGCCATAGATTCAAAGATTCTGATAAATTAGTCTGGCTGAAAAGTGAGGTGAAAAAGGGTCATGAAAGATTTTTTTTCCAGATGGTACACTCAAGCACCTCTTCCTACTCTATCTATATATTTGAGTCCCTTTCCTATCATGTGGAAAGCTCCATATGGGAGTCCATTAAGACTGTCCATTCCTGGTGGGGTAATTCATGCCTATAGTCCCAGCTACTTGGGAGGCTAAGGTAGGAGGATCTAAGGCCAAGAGTTCCAGACCAGCCTGGGCTACATAGCTAGATCATGTCTCAAAAACAAACAAATACATTCATTAAGAGAATCCAGGGGGCTGATAGAGTGGCTCAAGTGGTAAAGTGCCTGCCTAGCAAGCATGAAGCCCTGAGTTCAAACCTCAGTACCGCCCAAAAATAAAAAGAGTATCCAGGGTTGGTGACTTAACTCGGTGGGACAGTGCTTGCCTGAGATGGATCCCAAGGAAGGGGATGGGGAAAGGGAGGAAGAGACAAAGGCACAGAGAAAGTGAACAATTCCTGCTATACAGTGAGACACAGTAAGAAGAATGGAGGACAAATGCAGAGGGCCAGCGGTGGGGGGAAGAGGGAGGATATCTTGGGTATCCTTCCATTCCCTGGTGCCAGTCTCTGGTGAGGCATGACCATCATGCCTTTTTGTCCAGAGATTCCCCCTGTTTGTATAGTATTGGTATATTGTCTATTTAATCAGTTCTCTGAGAAACAGGTGGGTTGTTTTCAATAATTTGTTGTGGTGTAAAAAGTGCATTTTAACCTGAACATGTTTCATTATTATATAATATCAAGTATTATTACTATTTCTAAACATTAAAACTAAATTCCTATAGAAATTTCTGAAGTGGTCCTCCACAGTAGAATTTCTACTACTTATAGTACTTTATCTAAATTCTAAGGCATCACTTTGAAATGTGCTGTGCATTTAAATTAAAAAACAAGTTTGCTTTGCATTATCTTTGAACTTTTCTAGAAACCCTCTGTTCAGCAACTTGGTTTAGCTTTGCTTTCTCCAGGCATTATTAACAGCAGGATCTTTTTTTTTTTTATTCATATGTGCATACAAGGCTTGGGTCATTTCTCCCCCCTGCCCCCACCCCCTCCCTTAACACCCACTCCGCCCCCTCCGTCTCCCCCTACCCCCTCAATACCCAGCAGAAACTATTTTGCCCTTATTTCTAATTTTGTTGTAGAGAGAGCATAAGCCATAATAGGAAGGAACAAGGGTTTTTGCTGGTTCAGATAAGGATAGCTATACAGGGAGTTGACTCACATTAATTTCCTGTGCGTGTGTGTTACCTTCTAGGTTAATTCTTTTTGATCTCACCTTTTCTCTAGTTCCTGGTCCCATTTTCCTATTGGCCTCACTTGCTTTTAAGGTATCTGCTTTAGTTTCTCTGCGTTAAAGGCAACAAATGCTAGCAATTTTTTAGGTGTCTTACCTATTCCTCACCCCTCCCTTGTGTGCTCTCGCTTTTAGCATGTGCTCAAAGTCCAATCCCCTTGTTGTGTTTGCCCTTGATCTAATGTCCACATATGAGGGAGAACATATGATTTTTGGTCTTTTGGGCCAGGCTAACCTCACTCAGAATGATGTTCTCCAATTCCATCCATTTACCAGAGAATGATAACATTTCGTTCTTCTTCATGGCTGCATAAAATTCCATGTGTATAGATACCACATTTTCTTAATCCATTCGTCGGTGGTGGGGCATCTTGGCTGTTTCCATAACTTGGCTATTGTGAAAAGTGCCGCAATAAACATGGGTGTGCAGGTGCCTCTGGAGTAACCTGTGTCACAGTCTTTTGGGTATATCCCCAAGAGTGGATATACCCAAAAGAGTGGATCAAATGGTAGATCAATGTCTAGCTTTTTAAGTAGCCTCCAAATTTTTTTCCAGAGTGGTTGTACTAGTTTACATTCCCACCAACAGTGTAAGAGGGTTCCTTTTTCCCCGCATCCTCGCCAACACCTGTTGTTCGTGGTGTTGCTAATGATGGCTATTCTAACAGGGGTGAGGTGGAATCTTAGTGTGGTTTTAATTTGCATTTCCTTTATCAGCAGGATCTTTTAAACAGCCTCTTTTTTCACATCACCAATATGAAACTGAATTTGAACTAGTGTGTCATTAAGAGGGAAGAGATGATAAAAAAAATTAGCCAATGCAAAAATTTATCACATTCTAGTTATCGTTTTACTCTGAGGAATGATAATTTAATAATAATTTGCTAGTTGAAGTAAGACTTTGAAATGTGCTTACATTCGTTAAAATATAGATAAATGAGAGTTCCTGTTAGGAAATCTAGTGATTCTTGTATTCTTACACAATTCAGGTGTCAGGTAGCAATAAGTATAACAAACTAAGGAGATTCCAGTTTAAACATATGTCAGTAAATCGACAAGTAAAAATATCAGGCTAGTAAATATGGAAAATATATAACAGACTAGTTAATGATTGATTAGAAGTATTTTCCTTAGAAAAATAATTACAATTATTTACCACTTTTTTTTTTTTGTGGTACTTGGGCTTGAACTCAGAGCTTCATACTTGCAAGGCTGATACCCTACCACTTGAGCCATTCCTCAGACCCCATTATCTTCAATCAATTTTTTATCTTCCATTTTTTTTTCAGAGCTATGGTGACAAAAATTAAAAAAAAAAAAACCAACAAAAACAACTAGGTCTTTATACTCTAGAAGTTGACTAAATAATAAGGAAGGGTAAAGCACATTCACTGATGGAAACAATATAAGGCAGAAAGTATTACGAGCTAGGAGAGGAACAAAGAGTTAATAGGCCTAAAAGGAAAGAGTAGATTTCTGAACCTGCTCCCCACTGGGGGCCTTCACATTTGCTATTCTCTCAGCTTCAAGTGTTCTTTCCCCATCTAAGCTGTGGCTGTCATAAGGCCCCAGTGAAATGTCCCACCTTCAAAGCTTAGCTCAACTCAAGACAACCGCTTTCCCCCATGCCCCGTATTCACCGTTTCCTTCTGCCTTATTACAATGAATGATGTGCTCCTACATCTTTAAATGGCTCACTCTAGTACCTGAGCTTGGTAACACCTCCTTCTAGTCATAATTCTTACTTTCCTGTAACTTTAATTCCTACCATTAGCCTTTAAAACATGCTCAAAACTCTGGATCTCCCTCCTTTGACCTTGCCATCACCTATGGTTCTGCTTGACTTTGTTTTCTACCTTCATTTCTTCACTGCCTCTCTACTTCTTGATCTTCTGAAATCTAGGTTTGGCTTCCAACTCAAATCAAACTGTTCCCACTAAAGGCAGTAATATCATTGTTCTCACAGAGTCCAAAGAACATAACTTAGTCCTATTTGTACTTAAACACTGCAGCACCTGACACTGCTGACTCTCCTTAAAACATTTTTTGGCATCTGTGACACCACATTTTTTGACCTCTCTTAGCTTCTCCTTTGCTCCTCCAGATTCTTCTTCCTTTAGTCAATCCTTATGAATTGGTATCACTCAAACCTGCAGGTTCTGGTAGAGTTCTAACATAGGCCTTCTTCTCTGCTTACCTTAAATCTTCTTCACGGTAATTTTACCTACTTGATGACTTCAATCACTATTTATAAGCTGAATATTCCTAAATCTGTATCACACTTCTCCTCACCTCAGACCTCATACATCAATTTTATTTAGATGACCCATGGCATCTGAAATTAAAGATGGTTAAAACTAGCTAAGCATGGTGGTACATGCCTGTAATTCCAGTACTGGGAAGGCTGAGGTAGGAAGATTGAGAATTTGAGGTCAGCCTGGACTACATAGCAAGACCCTGTCTCATTTAAAAAAAAAAAAAAAAAGTAAAAAACTGAGCTCATTGTTTTTCCTCTAAAACCAGTTCCTCCCACTTTGTGCCCCATCTCATGGAATGACACCATGCTACTTAGCTACCAAAAAAAGTTAGGTATCAGCCCAGACTTCTTCTTCTGCATCATCTTCAATTCCTCCTGCCCCATAAGTAATCAATCACTAATATGGGAGCAGTTTGTTCTCTAAAAAGACCCTCAAATCTCTTTATCCCCCTGTATACTAATCTATACTACCATCATCTTTCTTTTAGATCATTACAGTACCTTCATAACCAGGCTCCCCAGTTATGCAATACTCCAATCTGTTTCCCACATTGCATCCAATGAACCATCTTTCTAAGATGCAAATTTGATCCATTTACTTCCCTAGGTAAAACCTCTCATTGGCTTTCTACCATGCTTTTGATGGAGTCCAAATAACTTAGTTTGGCTTACATGGTGTTCTGTGATCTGGCTCATGGCTACGCCTCTTGCTTGTTTCTTGGTACCCTTTTGTTCACACTTTCTAATCTGGGGTACTGAGCTTCTTTTCTGTCTCTTTAAGCATCAGCTTTCCTCTTGCATTTTCTGGGCCTTCACGCACCAATTTATCTGAACAGTTTTCTGTCTGCTCCTTCCCCAGTCCCTTCAGAGCAAAACTTCAATATTACTTTTTCCAGGAAACCTTTCCTCACTCTCCTAACCTCAACAAAACAAAACAAGCCTAGGTTAAGGGGATCCTCTTCACTTCTGCATCAAAGTACACAATATGAAAAAGCTACTTGTCTCCTCCCTTGCTGCCCCTCAGGGCATTAGTTTCCTGTGAATAGGAATCTCTTGTACTCCTCATGTATAGCAATTCTATAACCTGAAATGGTACTTGACACAATAGTAGATAGCTAAATTTCTTTTGAGTAAATACTGAAAGTCGTAAATCACAACAGTTGTATGAAGGACGGTGGAAAGAAATAATAATAGGGAAGAAGTAGTATGTGAACTGAGACTCAGGCATGCATAGGTCTTTGACAAGCAGAGATGAGGGAAAGTCTATTCCACACAGAACTATGTTAAGTAAAGGCAAGAAAGGTGTACTTCCAAGGCCATATTAATGAGGTTACAAGAAGTACACTAAGAATATAAAACTGGAAAGATGGATTGCAGATCCACATATGTGAATTAGGTGCAATTATTTTTGCAACTTTATTAAAATGAAAGTGAAAATATTACCAATTAAGTTAAAATATACATAAAATACACAATACAATTGTTCCTAAGTAAATATAATAATTAAAATAGTTCCTACACAGGTGCCAGTAGCTTACACCTGCAATCCTAGCTACTCAGGAGGCAGAGATCAGGAGGATCATAGTTTAAGGTCAGCCCCAGCAAAAAGTTAGTAAGACCCCATCTTAAGCAATAGTTGGACACAGTAGTTCACGCCTGCCAACACAGCTTTGAGGGAAGCTAAGATCAGGAGAATTATAATTCCAGGTCACTCTGGGTAAAAAGTTCACAAGAACCCAGCTCAACAGAAAAAGCAGAGTGGTGGCGGCATCTGTAATATCCCAGCTACTACAAGAGGTATAAATAGGAAGATTGTGATCCAGGCCAGCCCAGGGCAAAAGCCAGAACCATCTCACAAATAACCACAGCAAAGAGTGTTGAAGGTGTGGCTCAAGCAGTGCTCCTACAAGCACAAAGCCCTGAAGTTCAAACCCCAGTACTGCCAAAAAAAAAAAAAAAACAGAGAGAGAGAAAACAATCCTACACGTGCTGCCAGACTTGGAGCATTTTTACCTTGTGCTTTCTCAGTGTATCCAGATCACGAGCAGCGTCTTGTGACCCTATAAGAAATAAGTGATAGCCCTGAGCATAAATGTAACTATTATGACCTTTTATGTAAGTGTGTGATAATTCTGTTAACCGAGCATTAAAAAACAGTAACTCGTAGGGACTTCAGTTCAATTTTCTAAAAGGCAAATCATCACAAAATATTGGTGCTATTCATCATAAAATGTTCATCTTTTATATGATCTTAGACTTTCCACTTCTAAGAATTTATCCTAAATGATGTTGTAATGATTAGCTATAAGGATGCTTATCATAGTGTTGTTTGTTGGTAATACAACAAACAGAAACAAAAAATAACTAAAAGCTCACTATGGAGGCTAAGTTAAATAAAAGATGAGTACAATTATGTAATGAAATATATACAGTCCACAGCACTATTAGAAATAGAAACGAAAAATATTTTCAGCATGGATACATGTTCTTAATATGGTAGGTAATAAAAGTAGGTTAAAAAATATCATCATATAAAAACTAAAAATATGTGTATGCTTAAAAACAGGCAGGAAGTATATGGAACAAAATATTAACTGTAGAGTTAAATGTGATTTTTTTCTAAATATTCATTGTATTTTTTACAATAAACATCTCTTCTTGGTATTAAGGAAATCAGACACCCACAAGACGACTTAATGCCAGCTGGTTTGAGAATACTCAGCATCATAGAGGCCTATAGCATCCACCTACACTTCATGTACCACTCTTACAGTCTGTCTGTCTAAGGTGGCTTCTAGATCTCCCACACTTGGAAACTGGCTTGTTAATAAGCAAATTCCTATGGGATATTTGTTAAAATAAAACAAGTTTCACAATTTTAAAAATAAGGCACTTATATTTAAACATTTTTAAGCATTTTACCTTCCTAATTTCGGGTCTATTTCCATAAACAATGTTTTTCTCACCTAATTTATCCAGGAAATCAGCCAGCTTTTATTATATGATTGTGGGTAGCTGAGAAGCCAGCAAGTATACTATTTGGCTGGGCAGGTAGAGTGGCTCAAGTGGTAGAGCATCTGCCTAGCAAGTGTGAGGTCCTGAGTTCAAACCCCGGTACTGTCAAAAAAAAAAAAAAAAAGTATTAAGACTGGAGGTGTGGCTCAAATGGTATAGTACCCACTTTGCAAGCACAGTACCCTGAGTTTATGGCCCAGTATCATAAAAAAAAAAAAAAAAAAAATCCCTGTGCCTTGAGAGCAGCTTATCTACACTGTTTGGCCAATATTCTCTAGATAATACCAGCTCACAGGCTCTTACTAAGCCCATGTTTACTTTCATATTACTTAAAACTTGGCCTGTCAAAATATTAACATTTTTAAAAACTGGATGGTGGATATATAATTGTCTGTCATATTTTCTGTAATTTTCTATAAATTTGAAATACTTAAGAATTTAAATAAATTCTCAGTTTTCTACTGTAGGAAGGCCTACCTAACCATCTCCAGGGAGACTATAGGTTAAAATAAATTAACTTAGATTTGATAGTTCAATATGCATGTCATGTGTTAAATAATTACTTTCTTCTTTTTTTAAATAGCAAAAACTGAACATGACTTAAATGAAATTTTTTCTTTTTTTACCCTAAGCAACATCAGATGCTTAGATAATTTTCACTAAACACACCCACACACATCAGTACCAAACACAGAATAGGTCAATTGTATTTTAAAGCTGGCTACCGTATTTTCAAAGTGACTTCTACAATGACTGTGTTGGCATTAGTTAATTCTTGAGATCAAAAATGTAACCTGTGTGTTCTTCCTTTCCGAACAATGAAAAAATTAAATAAGTATTCACAGTATGGGGAAATAACTTAAGTCATTGGAAACGGACTCAGAGAACCAGCTTATTTTTCATGTAAAACTTGTTAATATTCAGTTCAAGTTAATTCTCTCTAAATTCTAGATATGCAGAATTTCTCCAATTTTAAATGAATGCTTTATGTTGCAGTCAAGTGTTAAGCTTTTAATGGAAAAAATGAACACTGGAAACCATATAATCATTAAAATTTGTTATTTTAAAAACCTTTGTTTTGAAAAACTAGAATGTCATTCTTTTGCATATTATTTTAAGTGAAATAAAAAAAACCCAAATACCAGTTTTAAGAAGTTAATGATTTTAACATTGGTTACATGAATCTATACTTGTGTTAAAACCCATAGAACTAGTAAGAGGCATGGTGAAGCACACCCGTAGTCCTAGAACTTGGAAAGGGGATAATGGAGGATTGAGAGTTCAAGGCCATCGTGGGCTACATAGTTAGCCTGTGTCAAAAAAAGTTGTGGGAAAGAAAAAATAAAACAGACTCACAGAACTATAGCAAGTCAGTTTTACCTTATAATTTTAAAGAGTTGATCAATAAGAACACAACTAAACAAGCTTAATAAGAAAAAAGAGATTTCACAATGATAGAAATCATTGTAATATTCATTATCTTAGGTAAGAATTGTTACACCGTTAGAGATGAGGTAACTCATTTAGGAAGAGTATATATGTTATTGACACTGAGACTTCTAACAAGTTCAGTGTTTTGCAATTATAAAATATGAATCATAATATACAGGTTATTTAAGATCTCTAGAAACCTGTCTCTACTTTTCAAAGAAACCATTTTAGTAAAAATATCAAATGTGTAAGTTTTGGTATAGCATGTCTTCCTAATAAATCACTATTTTCATAATCACAAAATGAAACAAAAAATTATTATGTTATAGAAGTAAATAAATAATAGTCTAAATAAATGTTTTATTTGAAAAATGTATAAGAAGTGAATTCATCAATGACAAAATAGAAGCATAAATTACTATGAGGATTAGATAACATATTTGTGAAAGAATTTATACAATTAAAGAACCATACCAAGTTAAAGTATTACCAGCCTCCCAAGAATATCAGGCTTCCTAGATCTCAGAAACATAAACCTCATAAAGTATCTCAAGCTTTTCATCTGGAATTGAAGAGACTTCAGAATGTTACCAGTTTAGACTTCTTAATAGAATGAACATAATAAATAATAAGAGCACCTTTTAACTACCCAGAAGAAACAGGAATTCTATTTTTTCAAATAAAATTGAATTTAAGAACTAGTGATTTTTGTTGTAAAAATATGACTTTTGTAATCTAGGGCGAAAATGCTTAGTAAGATTATTTACTGGCCTGTTAGATAGTTGAAGTGCTTTTATAAAGATTTTTGAAACACATTAACTGTTTAGAGTTTGCAAACTAACTAGAAAAAACAGATTACATTTTTACACCTCTTTCATTTTCTTTATTACCCGCCCCCCCCCAAATAAAAGTTCTTTAGCATACAGTGCTAGAAGAAACCGTGCCTCTTTAGGGAGATGAAGGAAGTTTTTTAAAATTAAGCTAGAAACAACCACAATTTCCCAGAGAGAAACTAAGTCTAGACAGAAACAACCCCTGCATTATTCATGCAGAACTTCAGATGTAATTATCCACGGGCCCTTGGGAACAAGGTATATATAATCAGGCAGAAAAAGGTCCCTATGTTTTTCAGAAGAAAGAAGGTTGTGACTTACGAAAGTGTCCCATTTCCCGATCTGGAGAGAAAACTAGTTTCAAAAGTCCCTTCCAGAATTCTTCTAGTACTCTGGAGAGGGTTCCAATCCCAATCTGAGAACACTACCTTGATCATTTCACTTTGGGTAAATCCACAAGGAAAAATAACAAGCAAAGTTCACGACAACTCTGAATTGATGAATAACTAGAATTTTTACCATAATTATGTTAAACCATTATTACTACAATGGAAGCCAGATAACTGACATATTGTCTTTCCTAGATATGGGAAGCCTTGGGTGAACCTTCCAGATTAGCTAAATAAGTCAAGTAATTTTTCAGTGTTAATTTGGTGAGAACATGGCATAATTTTCACTGGGCTACAAAAACTAATTGGAGATATTTATTCAGTGAATTTAAAGATAACCTTGTAACAATTCATAAAATACATACTACAATAATAATTTATACGATCTATGTGAAAACCTTTCACAACAATGTCAGGACAACCCTATGAAATAAGTAGATACTGTTACTTCAGTTAAAGCAGTTAGCTTTTGTAGGACTAGAGAGGATAAAGGACTTGGACAGTCTAATTTAAGAATTATACACAGAACAGAGCTGAAAATTCTAACTTGAAATAGTCTAGTAGGATGATAGATAGTAGGAGTCAATCAGACTTGGGCTTGATACTCAACTCTGTTATTTACTAGGTGAATTGCCTTGCACAAGTTACTGAACCAATCTCAAATTCCAGTTTCCATTTGTAAAATGGAGCTGATAATCCCTACTTAGAGTTCTTAAAAGGAGTGATAGGCTGTGTGCAGATTCACATGGTAGCTGGGTGCTCTTTCTACTCAAGAATGCCTCAGTTGTATAAATACTGACAAGCCATTTAATCTTTCCAAGTCTTCATTTCTGTATTCATAATGAAAAATGATTCAGAACTACAGCATGAAGTGGTTCTTTTGCTTGCTTGTTTGTTTTAAGAACACCATACTGGCCAGGCATCAATGGCTCACACCTATAATCCTATCTATTCAGGAGGCAGAGATCAGGAGGATCACAGTTGGAATTCAGCCTTGGCAAGTAGTTTGAGATGCTATCTCAAAAAACCCATCACAGAAATAGGGCTGGTGGAGTGGCCCTGAGTTCAAAACCCCACACTGCAAAAGAAAGAAAGAAACAACAAAAAAACCCACTGCACTACCCAGGGAGGCTCAAGCCTTCAATCCTAGCTACTTGGGTGTCTAAAATTGGGAGGATCAAGGTTTGGCCAGGGCAAATACTCTGTAAAACTCCCATTTCTAAAATAGACCAAAATTGACTGGAGATGTGACTCAAGCAGTAGAGCACCTGCTTTGCAAGATAGAAGACCTGAGTTCAAATCCCAGTCCCACCAAAAACACCATACTATATCCTGGGCAAGTACTTTTACAATCTTGCTTCTTTTCTTATGCAGGCTATGCCTGCAAAGGGATTCAGTATGTCCATATTACAAGAAACCATAAAACCATCTGACTCATAAATAAAATAAAAGCCCTCCTAAACATTCCAAAAACAGAGACCATGTGCAGATGTGGCCAGGGAAGGCCAGTATTCCACATGGCCTGTAACAGCTGCGCAGGCAAACACATGACTGCAACTGTCAACTTTTCTGTAACTTTAACCATTGTCACTTGTTTTGCCTGATAAAAGCATTATTTTTTAATTTTTTTAAAATGCCTTTGAAAAGAAAATACAATATAGAACTTAGAAAAATAGGACAAGAGCTGTTCTAAAATTCAAATACCAGGTGCTAAGTGCTACTAGACTCGATATACTGAGGAAAAAACGTTCTGATTGCTGCAAGTTGCACATCCAAAGGGAACACTGCACCTCCCGGCCGAACAGCGATATACACACTGCCCCACATACGGGGTGGGGTGAGAAAGCCACCCAGTGAAGGGACTCACCGACTTAGTGGCAGTCACATACTCACCCAGAAGCAACCATGGCTTAACAACGCCAACCTGCAGGTCCGAGCTAAGGTCCTGCACATAGCCACAACCACCCCCACCGCTCGGCTCTACTTCTTCCACATGAATTCTGGCATCTTTCCATGTTTCTATAATTTTCTTTCCAGTTAGCGTTGTCACTCGGGTGCACTGCTTCCTGAGATTATTCCGGGAGAATGCTTTAATTTCCTGGGCTAGGGAGTGCATCACATGAGCAGTAGCTGGGAACAATACGAGTAAACCCAGCAAGCACAGAGCAGGACTGGGCGGCTCGTCCCGCGTTGCTCCGGTAATAAATACCGCCCCCCCCCCCCGGCGCGTGCCCCTCCAGGTGACAGGTACGCCCGCGCCTGAGGACCTGCCCGTCCGGCTCCGCCTTTTCCGGCGCCGCGATGTAAGGCGAGGTTTGATTGGCCGCTGAGAAACAGGCGCTGATTGGATGTCGCTGCTTCTTCCTATGGGCGGAGAACCTGCGTTATGCCTAGAAGCAAGAGGCGTCACAGGCTGGGGACTTTTCCTATTGTTGCTGTTTGAACATTGCTGCGTTATGCAAGCAGAATGGTAAAATATACGGCTTAATTGAAAAGAGAGCTGATGTCTCCTGACTTTTTAAATGCGATGACCTTCTGGAAAGGTTCGATTGGTGTCACTTCATGGTAGTGGGCATGAATGACACTCCTGATGGTGAGGCCAGCAGAGGAATCACAGTGCAAACCAGCCTTGCAGGCCGCTTGCGATTAGGCCTATCCAGGGACTGCGGCTGACGTGAGGAGTCATGTCTTGCTTCCTGTGTCCTGCATTCTTTCTTGCTTTTACAACCAAGAGAAACCTTCACCAGACAAATGGGCATATTTGTGAGGCAGCAATCTAAAATCTGAAAAAGAAATGGTATTTTTAAAAATGATGTTAGTTTGTACATGCACATTAGCAAGGCTTAAAATATCTTGTATTTTATGATTTTTTTCACCTTCATTTTCACCTGCTGAAATACTACTGCAGAAAGCTTAATGTAGTAAACATACTCTCTAGTAAGTAAACAAATAAATAACAAAATCTGCCCATACAAATTGGAAAAATTAAATGTGAAAACATCCAAATTTACAAAATAGATAAATAGTAGAATGATAATTCTCGTTACAAAAGGATGACTTACTTTGCAAACTAAACCATACGATTTCTTCAGGAGGAATTTTCCTAACCCTTATTAAAATATAATTCAATTTAAATCGACTCCTCAGATACAATGTGTAAACACATGTATAAAGAAGAGAAGTTGCACTTAAGAAAATTTATTCTCCAACACCACATATTAAAATTAAACTTATGGGCTGAATGTGTCCATTCAAAATGCATATGTTGAAACTATAACTCCCAATTTGATGGTATTTGGAGGTAGGACCTTTGGCATAATTAGAGTTAGATTATGTCTTAAGGGTCGGGCCTCATGGGAATTGTGACTTCGTGAAAACTAGAAGAGCTGTCCCCACCCTTGCACCAGAGGGAGAATGGGCTGTCTGCAAGTCAGGAAGAGAATCCTCACCATGAACCTTGAATAGGCCAGCACCTTGTTTTTGGACTTCCTGGCCTCCAAATCATGAGAAATAAATTTCTGTTGCTTACACCACACAGTTTATCGTATTTTGTTATGACAGCCTGAGCAGAGTGAGCTATAAACCAAATTTTCACCCTCCAAAAGAGCAAGATAAAGCCAGACAAAGGTGGCTCTCACTTATAATCCTAACTACTCAGTAGGCAAAGATCAGGAGGATCTGGGATCCAAGCCAGCAGGGCAAACAGTTCACGGAGACCCTATCTCAAAAATATGCATCACAAAAAGGCTGGTGTAGTGGCTCAAGTGGTAGGTGCCTCCCTTGCTAAGCTTGAGGCCCTGAGTTCAAACTCCAGTACCTGTGAAAAAGAAAAAAGAGTGAGATAAAACCACATTATCTAGAGGTCAGTTGAAAATGAAGAACTGAAGAAATTATTTGCATAATTTAAACAATCAGAGGCTCATCAAAAACAATTCTAACCATAAATCCATATATTTATCATAGCAATGATCAAAAATAACTATCAAATATTGAGCACTAACTACATGATAGGCACTGTGCTTACAATTTTTAGATTCTTAGTGTCATGCAGTAGGCACCTAAAAATGCTTATACATATTATCTCATTTGACTTCACCACAGGCCTTTTGGTCTTCTACAGTTTATAACTGATGAAACACAGATGTAGACAGAACCATAAATAAGCCATAAATAAAATCTAAGCTTGTTTCAGTCCAGTGCCTTTGTTCTTTTTTATTTACTATGGAATACTCCCCGGCCCCCCAATTAATAACTGTAGTTGATGAACATTCACTAAGCACCAACTCTGCCAGACACTACTGTAGTCACTGGGGATGTAGCAGTGAATAAAAAATCTCTTTCATGGAGCTTATATGCTTATATTTAAGTGATGTGGGTGGACTGACAGATACGGGGTATGTGTGTGTGTGTTTAAAATAATGTTGGGTCACCACCAATGCTAAAAAAGGAAATTCAGATAAAATAAAGGGAGAGAGTGAAATGGCACTGTGCTCTTTGCTGTAAGTTGGTGAGAGAAGTCCCCTCTGATAACATGAAATTTGAGTAGATATGTGAGGAAGAGCATGAAAGAAAGTATCTAAACATGGTACATTTAGTGTCTATAGCATGTGCTTTGCCAAGTGCTGAGGTAGTACACTGGTGGAAGGTGAAGGAAAGGGGTGAGAAGTGTTCAAAAATAGACCAGGTAGCTAACGGGTCTTTAAGAAAGTGAGTTACAAGAATTGTTGGAGGTGAGGAAAGAGACATGGAAAGAACTTTGAATTGCATTCTGAGATGGGAGGGAACCGGGGAGAACAGTGATGTGATGGACCCTATGCTATACTAACCAGGTCCCCTTAAGTGACCTGTTGTCTCCACTAATGGTAATATAGTGACTGACCAGTGACAGACCCTTTAAGGACTGTCTCAGCTATAGAAGGCTGCACCTCTCAGAAAGACCATTTCCAAATGATTGATGAGGGGGCATAGAGGTGTGGCCATGTTAGCCCAACTTGGACCAACTCTCCAGGGCCATCATAGCTCTAAAGGCTAGCATGTGGCTAGCTAAGACTATTAGCGTTCTGCATAACCACTTGATTTTTCTGTCTGCCAAATCTGGCTTCCTTTTTTCCTTGCACAAGTGTTGATCTCAAGACACTCTTAAAAAGTCCTGCATGCTAAATTCTACTTCAGCCTGCCTCCAAGGAAACCAAGTTTGTGACAAGTGATATGATATTGATTATGATGTAGAAAGGTTCTTCTGGCTTCTGTAAGGAGAGGGGTCCAGGTGGAAACATGGGTAATTGTAGTGGTGTACTATGACATGATCTGGATAGAGATGACAGTTATTTTGGCTTATATAGCAGCAGGGAGGGCAACAAATGGACATGTTCTAGATACACATGCTCCTTGAATTAAGAAGGAGTTACATCCCCAAAAAACCCATGGTATACTGAAATACTGTAAGTTGGAAATGCATTTAAAACTCCTAACTTATTGAATATCAGAACTTAGCAATACAGCACTCATTGTTTACTCTAACAATGGTGTGGCTTACTGGGAACTTGCAGCTCTCAGTGCCTCTGACCAGCAATGCAAGAGATAGTAATTCATATTGCTGGCTCAGGAAAAGATCAAAATTCAAAGTACATTTTTTCACTGAATGAGTATCACTATTTCACCATTGTAAAGTTAAAGAAAAAAGAAAAAACCACAAATTTAAATATCATAAGCCAGGGACTGCTTACTTGTATATGAGAATAAAACCAAGAGGATTTAATTAGTAAATCAATGTAAGGGCTATTTGGATAATCCCAAAGTTCTTAGCCTGAGCAAATAAAGAATAAATTTGTCATTTACTGAGAAATGGACATGTCAAGTGGATAACTGTATATATGAATCTGGACTTTATAAGAAAGGTATCTTCTGGAAATGTAAATTTTGGAGTCATGAGCTTAAAATACCATTTAAAGTTGTGGAAAAAGAGAAAAAAGAAAAATAAATAAGTAAAGTTGTGGAAATGAATGAGGTGATCTGATGGTGGGAGTTGATAGAAATCTCCACGTATGCCCTCATTCAGGGGTAAGGACAATGAAGAGGACTCAGCAAAGGAAACCAAAAAGAGGTTGGGAAGATGGGAAGTAAAGAAAGAGTGAAAGTCTGAGAGTACAAGTGAAGAATGTGGTTCAACGTGGACAGTATTATTAACTGTGTCATATGTTACTGAGTGTTGAGGAAGGTAAAGTCTGAGCACTGGTGCTAGATTTAAAGGTCTTCTCAAAAAAAAAAAATGCTATCGATGTCCCAGCAGTAAACAAGTGCTGATTCAAGCCTAAAGACATCCCAAGGAGGTACATTTTTTATAGAGAAGATCATTTAATTTGGAACTTAACGACCTAACCCTTGGTCACAGAGGTACATTCTAGCAACAAGGTTGGTGGAACACATCTCTGTCTTGCTCAAGAGGCAATGTTCTTTGCATCAAATCATCCTCTACAGAAGAGGGGAGAAATTGTTGCTTACATTTTGGCAGCTGTAATTCTTGCTGAGAATGCTGTAATCTTAACATGCCTGCAGTAGCACAGGATGTTAATACACGGATTTTTAAACTCCATCCACTCAATGTAACATTTTATTTTTATTTTTTATTCTTTTTTTTAACATATTATTGATGTACTGGGGATACATTATGACATTTACAAATGTTCATACAATGTATCATAGTTGAATTCACCCCCTCCATCATTCTCCTTTATCTCCTCCCATTCCTGAAATAGTTTAAACATGCTTCATTTTTCATAGTTTGAACATGTCTCATTTTTCCATTTTCATTCATGAGTACATAATATTTCCACTATGTTCAGCCTCCTATACCCTTTCCTTATATTGTCTCCCCTGGTACCAGCCCTTAGAGAGAACCTATTTTACCTTCCTGTTCTCCATTTTTGAAAAAAAGGCATTTTAGTTTGTTTAAGATAGTTATACAGGGAGTTTCAATGTGACATTTCCATGTATATAGGTATTATAATCAATGTAACATTTTACAGAAGATAAATCAAGGTTCAGAGACATAAAACTGCTTGCCTAATGTCACATCACTTGTGATCCCTGGTCCATACATTCAATATATGATGCTCGTTTTACTGCATTATATGATTTTCTAAAAAGTCTTTTAAGGGAAAAACTGCTTTTCACAAATCTAGTCTGAGTGCAGAAGTGTT